ATGTATCTTCTTTTTTATTTTGTAAATAATTTGGACACGTAGTAAGGAGAGACCGATATAATATTCTTCAACTTATTATAATGGGTAAAATCGAAGGACGCAGAGGAATTGGTAGAAAGCAGGCCTCTTGGTTGAAGAATATCAGGGAGTGGACAGGAATAAAGAAAGCTGAGCAACTCTTTAGAATAGCTCGAGACAGAGACAGTTTCGCCATGTTAATCGCCAACGTCAAGGGGACTTGATAGGGCACGTTAAGAAGAAGAAATAATAAATTCATTAGTGAAACTTCAGTGTTCATCTCATGTTTACCTATTATTGGGAAATATTAATAATAATATTTACGAGGTCCGCCAAGAATTCTGAAAGGTACAAGTGGTCCTCAGTGGTGAAAAGGTTGAGAACCATTGAACTAGATGATAAGCTTAATGAGGTTGCATTTGCCTGATTCACAGCTTCTGGTGAGATCCCAACAAAGTATTCTTTATCACTATCATCTAGTTTTTCAGTAATAATACTCCTTTCAAAATATGCCAGAATTAATTTTGCTATTTTGCTCACGGCTACTAGAATTATTTAATTCCAGTAGCCGTGAGCGCGAATATTTAAGGCATTTTTATTTGTGTTCTCAAGATGAAATGATCGTGGTTAACGGCATTAAAAAACATTTTCTAGACAGTTCGTGATTGAGCACATAATAAATATTATAGTTGAAAACAATATAAAATACACATTGTCTAAAACGTAATATCAATTCGCAGAAAATGAAGTCACAGATAAACATTAAGTCGATGTGAATGTTTTGTTTTTAGTGATTACAAAACGCTGTCTTACAAGTGATTATCATATGAGTGCAATAAATAACTAGTTTTTCACTAAATATTTTTCAATCAATTTTCGGTTATTGCATGTACGTACAAAAATAATTTTTAACACTAAAATTTCTGAAAACCTTTGTTCTTATTTGAATAAATATTCTCATTTTTTCATATTTTCGGCTATTTTATTTTCTGGGCATATGTTAAATTTTGATCGTACCTCATCAAGTTGATAGATGAATGTATCACGTCCAGATATAAATGGCTACCGTTCCCATACACAAAAAAGAAAACCAATCTCTGATGGATGTAATACTCCTTATAGAAATGCTTGAGATTTACTACGCTATATATTTATAGATTGCCCCAAGAACAAAATTGCTCTTCACTTATCGAAAATGTTTAGCTTGCCCTCCGATAAGAATTTTAAGGGCGGAAAGCAAGAAAGTCAAATCAAAAAAGCGTCGTGCCTGATTTTATTCAACAAGGGCTACTGCCTACACGTTGACTTTTTTAAAAGACGAAAAGTCAAGGAAAACATTAATTTATATTAATGATAAATATTACAACAACAAAGGATGATAACGATGCGTTTTATAGAGATATCCTCAAATATATAGTAGATAATAAAAAACGCTTAATAGTGTGTATTATAAGCGTCTTTAATTCAAAAACTGTATAAAAACTAAACGAAAAAAAAAACACAAAATAGGAAATTTTGGTTATGCGAAGGAATAATGCGCAGCACAACATGTACAAAATTAATTTATTCAATAAAAAAATATAAAACGAAATGGATCTGGATAAGCCCTAATGGAAAATTATGACCGAAGTAGATCACATCTTCAAATCCTCTTCTTCTTTTCTTCTACTTTTTATACAGACATGACTCTGTCTGTTTTTTAATGTGTGTCACGAAGTTATCGTTTCATCGTTTTCGTGGTATTCCTATTAGCATATCTAATCATCACATTATCTAGCTATGGAAAGCTCAAAACAGAAGTGAAATATCAAGTGAATATAGCAAATAGAGAGACGCTGGTTGCCTGAATGAAGCAATATAGAGATATAAGAGTATCGCAAAAGAAATGACAGGCAGAATTTACAAAACAGTCATCAGACCAATAATGACATACGCGACAGAAACACGACCTGACAAAGAGTGGACGAAAAGAATATTAGAAACAGCAGAGATGAAAACTCTAAAAAAGTTACAACAATTTAAGGTAATCAAAAGACTGATATGTTTTTTGTACACACTTAGGACAAGTCAAAAGAAAAGGCAAAAAAGTATTTTTGAAGTGTGTATATTTTTTAATAATTCCTAGCTGAGCGCTTTCGGCTTTACAAAGCCATCATCGGAGCTATGGTCAATTTATAAATACCACTACAATGGAGAGATCTCATTTCCTTATTTGTTGAAATTTTGATTTTTTAAATTACTTAGTTGTTAAAAATTCTTAAAAAACATACAAAAAACCGACACTGGACTTCACAGACACATTAAAATTTTTTGTCATGGTACGGGTGTAAGAACCCGACCATTGTTTGCTATGAGGAGGTAGACAGAATAGATGATGAGGAGGTAGACTATTCTTGATGACTTTAAAATGATATTGCCAATATTGTTGAGTTGCGCTCCTGGGACGACTTTACTTATAAGATAGTTCATTCGATTACATGAAATCAACTTTAACTTGAGGATATCCGTCAGAAAAAATCATAGCATATAATTCGTCTTTAAAAAGACAAACACATGATATGATGACAGTAAAATTCTCCTGTTAGTGATTCCATAGTAAATTATGAGGGAAAAACCAGGAAAAAAACCTCATAATACTATCCCGACATGGTAAGTATTTGTTCGTGCATTTAGTTTACCTTCAATAAACACAAAAATTCTGATTTTATATGTTTCGTTATTTAAAAAACATAAATGATGTATCTCTATATGTTACTGACTTACTAATACTGGTATTTTCTTATTAATAATTTCCTCTTTCAATATTGGTAACCTAGACTACTACATTCTACTAGATCCTACTACATTCTGCCGAGGAATTTGCTACACAATTGGCCTCATTTAGCATAATTAAAGCCGCTTCTTTGATTTTTCTTTTTTTACCATCCGACTCTTTTAGGACTACATTTGAATTATTCCATTGAACCCTACGTTCATTATCCCATGCGTGTTTACATATTTAAGATCTATCAAATTCTCTATTTTAATATAAGACTGATGTTCACTTATTCTAACATTTAATGGCCTTGATGTTTCACCTACATACCTTAGGTGTTTTGTGTTTGAAGAGACAGAAATTTAAAAAATAAAAAAAGCTCTGAGTTAATAATGAAATGAGAGAAACAAATAAAGCGTAGAATTAAAGAGTTTAAGAATTTTAAATACCAATTTAATTTTATATATATATTTGTGTCTCTTTTTATATCTGACAAGAAATATTTTTGCTTTTTCCTGTTAAATATTAATCTACCAGTTGAAGTACAACCAGCGTTCTTATGATTAGCGTGTCGGTAAACTGAACATGAATGAATATAGCAACAGAAAAAAGTCTAGACATATTAGTTTCTATTTTTGAGCTCATACCATTTCCTACTATAAATTTAGTCAAGCTGTGAAAAGATAAACAAATAAATATTGCAAATCTAGAACAACTCAAAAAGAACTTCGAAATAAGAAATGCTTTACATTTTACAAACAATGTACTTGAATACTCTTCGCTTCATTGATTACAAATTTAAAATTTCACGCTGATGTTTTAAAACTTTTGGACAACTATAGAAGTTTGGTTATAGAAACAAATAAATGAGAAATATTATGAATATGATATAGAGACCCACATGATTTTCATAGATTATAAACAGGTATTTAATAATCTGAAAGAGTCGACGGTTACGAAAGTGGTAGGCCAAATAGGAACACAACAAAGTTTTAAAACTGATAGACATTGTAGCATGTAGCGACGATGAGTTTGAGGTTGATGCTGGTAAACGCTCTGATCAATGGCAACACTGTTACACAAATCAAAATACTAATGTCCGGGCTTCAGTGTTGTAGAGGTGTCTTGGACAGGGTTCGTCAGAGCTAGACGGCTAGACTGCAAGTGATTAACGAGGGAGATAAATATACTGTAGAAAAGGAAAGAGAATAACATTTCGGAAAGGAACAGGGAAACCTAGTCGGTACAGAAATAAATCGGGAATGGACATTAAGAGGAAATTGTCAAATTGACGAATTTGGAATGTGTCACCCGGTATGCGTTGAAGTAATATAATGATACTAAACAGTAACAAAGAGGTAGTAAGAGGTACTTATATCTTGCGGCAGACTATATTAACGAGCCATTTATATTATACACACAAGGAATATTGCTGAATATAACCTTAGATAAGTATCTTGTAATATTTGTATATAGAACTAACTTGCTTATTGATCATAGTGAATGATCAGATAGCAATAATCATAAGATTCCTGTTGGAGTTTTATTAAATAAAAAAAAATTATGAATTTTTTAATAGATAATATACTAAAGAGAAAACATTGTAAGACTAATAAAAGCACAGAGGATTGGGTGGTATTGACCACCAGGTCCGCAATTTCAGTTGCGCATTTAGGAAAGTATAAAAGCCAACTCAAATAGGATTAACGGACACCAGAAGAAAAAAGACCAAAAGGAAAACTAACTCAAGAGACGATATCAGGACCAAGTTAAACCAGATTTAAGAACACTGGAAAGAAAGAACTGGACACAGATACTACTGGATAGAGCATCTTAGAGCCAACTGATTAACAAGGTCAGAAACTTTCAGCACCTATAAGCAGACGTATCGATTGGAAAAACCAATAGACGGATCCACCATTACAAACAGATCTAAAAAGTTCGTCAGAACTTCTAGAATTTCTTTAGTAATTTATAGCTTGTAAATAAAAATAGAAACTTGGAATACTGCGTAAAATTTTGTTGGTGTTTAAGGGCGCTCTTGATATTCATTTCATGAGATTGAGCCCTTTCAGCGATTACTTTTAATTATCATATTCTGACAATTAATAAAGCTGAGGTTATAGAAAAAAGAGAATTATTTATGTTGGGCATAACCAATAGAGGTATTTAATAACCAATTCATATATTCTTCGAAATAAATATTAATTACCAACTTTTATTTCAGATGTAGAAGAGCTATCAGCAAGGCTGAGCCTTATGGCAGCTGCATCCAGCGAAAACGAACTTCTCAAAGAAGCTGGATTGAAACCATCAACTCCCGAAGAAGCTGGAACCTACCTCAATAACACATGTGTTTATTTAGAGCAACTACTTAGTGGTTAGTATCATTCTTATAAAGTTTAAAATATTTTATTAATAAAACGATCATCTATTAGTTACGAAAATTTCCTCATTAATGATCCATTAAATACATTCATTTATTAACCCATTAACTGCCAATTTTTCTTTTCTTGCTAATATCGATTTTTTGAATACTGATGTATAATTATTTGACAAAAATAGACTCCATTGGTATGTATTTATAAAATCTGTCATTTTTTGACGTTTTTTATCGTGGATCCCCAATTGGGGATCATGGCATATACTATGCTTAATAATAACATAAGTACAAGGTTAGTGCAAGGTATATTTTTATTACAAAATATTGACAAAAAGCAATTAGTTTGAATGCCAAGCAACTACACATTCTACATGTAAACCAACATTACATTTAGAACACTGTTTTCTTACATTCGATTTGCAGACCGCACATTTCCTTTGCTTGCCTTCGGGAGTCCTTTCAAGATAATGTCCAACTGGATCTCGTCTCACTGGTTCAGGCACACGTTTTTGAGATTTCATTTTTAAAGATGGTCTTCCAAGCTTTTTTGGGTCTGAAAGTGAATTCACCCTTAAAAGAGCTTTGGCTACAGCTCTCCTGAAATCAAGTAATGGAACACTACCATTTGCAATAGAGTAGACTGCGTGAGCATTTACTAGAGCCATATCAATAACGTTTGTAAATAAGGGGAAATACCATCGCTTTGCTCTAATTTTAATTCTATATTTTTGGATATTCCAATCTAATTTGTCTACTCCCCCCATATATTTATTGTACTTAGCTATAACATTGGGCTGAGGCAAAAGTATTTCTTTTTTTTCCGTTCGCGACCATCTAGCGACTTTGGCTATTGGCAGGACCTCTTCATGATTTGACAGGAGTTTGACACAGCTATTGTCTTTCCACACTACCGCAAATATATTGTTTGTTTGGTCAAAACGGTAATCAAAAAATCCCCGCTTCTCTTTTTTTACCTCATTGTCAGATGTCAAAGGACAACGGCCCATTCGGTTACTGCGCACTGTTCCAGAAGCGCAGACCTTCTTATCAGATAGCTCTCTCATAAGTTCATAGCTGGTAAAAAAGTTATCAAAGTAGAAACAATGCTCAGAGGGATTTTCGATAACCTCCATTTTTTTCAAGATTACAGAAGATCCTAGACTAACACTGGCAGCAGTATCGGCTTTTTTACCTTCGTATACCTCGGTATCGAAACAGAAACCTGTCTCTGAGCAGCACATCGCCCATTGTTTGAAACCAAATCGAATGGGCTTTCCCCTGATAAATTGTTTCAGGTAATGATGACCAAAATACCGCACCATTTGCTCATCAATACTCAGGTTGCTACTGAAAACTCCAAATCTCATGCATAATTTATTGAACCTGTCTATGATGGGTCTTATTTTATAGAGCTTATCATGCTCTTCCGGCTTGACAGGTATAAGTGAATTGTCATTGAAATGTATGTTTCGTTTTATTTCTAGGTAGCGATTTCTAGACATACATGTTCTTACAATTTGGACATTTAAATCTTCGTCTTCTGACCAATACATTTGTTCTTGTGGGAGAGAATGATATCCAGTCAATATGAGTATGCCTAGAAACTTTCTCAGACAATTTACAGAAAAAGTGAACTCATGCCTGTTGTTCTGGGCTGCATAAATCACACTTTGCCTAACAATATAGGTCATTAGTTCTTCATCAAAGAATAACTCAAAAACTTCGGCTGGTGATTTACCGCGAATTTCATCTTTAATTTTTTGCCGACGGATATCGCATGCCGATTGAGCTTCATTTGGATCAGCTAATACACTAAAATTGGCTTTTTCTACCTTTTTCCAGGCTGGAGGTTGACTGGTAGCAATTTTAGATCTCTTGGGCGCTTGGGCAGTTGTTTTCGATCTTACCCGTTTTGAAGTAGAACAGCTGGGCTGCGGCTGATCAGATTGGGGTATCTTTTTAACATCCGTGAGGCCGTGAAGCTCAATATCTCCTGGAAGGTCTAGGGGAACGGAATCACCTAAGACATCCTCATCTAGATCCTCAGAATCTGTCACGCAGTCTACGCGGTCTGGTGGAAGTTCAACGATGTCGATATGGGTATATTCACTTTCATCAATGTAGACATGATTTTCTGGATCATCTATGTAAGCCTCAAGCTCTTTCAAGGAGCGGAAAGGTTTGGAACTCATAATCTAAAAAAAAAGAAAAAAATATTACATGTGCCATGGTCCCCATTTGGGTATCGGAACACAAAAGGACCCTACAGCCACATTTTTATTATTTTTTGTGTGGCTGTATCTTTTTTGTATGCTTAAGACTCTAGTCTATCCACACTTTATAAACAAAAAACTCTTGTCAAAACTTATCTATCAAAAAATAATAATGAAAATATAGGTATGTAAAAAGGTCAACTTACCAGCCACAAATTTTCACAAAAAGCTAAATATTTCAATATTTACGCCACCAAAATATCGTAAACCAACAAAACCACACACGTGAATGTTCAAGGAACAAAACATAACCTAAACTAACAGAGTTTCATAATATGCGTAGTTGCCAAACGGTACAAAAAGCGAAATCCCCAAATGGGGATCATGGCAGCTAATGGGTTAAAGTACAATTAGTTAAATTTTAATTGACATGCTAAAATCTGGGGGTAGAAAATTTCTGCAACATATTATTGATATTTGTAATAAAATTCATAATATATAATTATACAGCTATTATTATTTCATTAAAATTATAAAATGTATGCATATCGCACAAGCTGTTTCTCAATTGTGTCATTTTAAAAATATCTCAAAAGTATTTAAACCACTAATTAGTGCTATGTACCTAGCTTCTCCCTTATTTATTTAAATCTTGAGTGTATCCAATTAGTGGTCCATCAACGGCGTGTATGCACTCTCATTTTGACATACAAGAAAAAAGAAAAACACGTCGAGTAATACGAGTTACAAATCTTTCAGTGGAGTCTGTTTCCAGTTAAAACACTAGCGAAACAACAAATCTTGTTTCAAGTGTATAAAATCCAGACACAAGTAAACATGATAATTTGGTTTTGATTAGTTCCAATTGTCCGGTAATGCTGCTCTGCTAACTCAACGTGAGTGCTGGATACTTAATCGTGAAGTATTTGTGGTAACGCCAAATTAATGACAAATATATTTTACTATTTTACTCGATAAAATAGCAGAAAATGTACATTAAGTTCACACAAATTTATTGCAATACTCCTTTATTTATCTATTTTGTTTTTGTTTGAAATTTTTTTTTCAATATTCTTGTATTTCCTATCATTTTTAATTGTATTCTTTATTATCTTTCTCTCTATAAACAATTTTTCTTGTTTAATGGCATACCTCTATGGAATATTGTCGTTCCCATCCTTTGAGCGGTCGGCCAATAATTCCTCTACCATTTGGTGATCTATCTCTGGCTATTTTGATCAGTGTGATCTTCTCCATTCTACGTTTAGTCCAGGTGCTATCTGTTTTATGTTGGGTATATAGCATATAAACACAGTTTCCTAAATCGTTCCGAAATATTATTACAAATGATAAAATTTCACTATGCGTGAGTTGTAAAATGTGGGCTATTAAAAAACTATTAGTTTTAGAATAATTACGAATGGACATATAAGTTTTTTAAGTAAATTTTTAATAAGATACTATTATAAAAGTTATTATATTTATTGAAAAAATACTTAAAGACAAAAAAACAGTTAAAAAAAGGTTTTTTCTGGGAGTTTATTTCGCAAAATAAAAAATCAAACATAGTATCTTCTTGTTTGAAAAAAGAAAATTTTAATCATCATACGAAAATTCATTAAAATAGATTCAATGTCTATTTTCAAAATTTAAAAAGTGAAACTTTTAAATACTTGAATTTTTTGCATATAAAAGAACTTTCAAGATTTCAAACTCACTTTGAAAAATAAAAATCCGTCAATTAGAAGAGCCCACCATTGATGTTCTTCGTCTACCAGGACCACGATTCCGTTGGATCTTTCCCTGAATGATCAGATGTAAAAGATCATATTTTTCAGGGTGTCTCATAATATGACCGAAGTATTCCAGCTTGCATTTCTTTATTATATTGACTAGTTATGTTGTTTGGCTCAGCCGTCTAAGGACCTCCTCATTTCTAACTCTGTCGACCCAGCTTATTTTCAATAGTCGTCTGTATACCCACATCTCAAAGACTGTCAAGCGTTTAAGCATAGCCTCAGTTAGAGTCCACGCTTCCACTCCATACAGCAGGACAGGAAAGATGTAGCAAGATGTCATACGAACTCTAAGGTCAATGCTAAGATCGTGACTGCAAAGTACGTTTCTCATTTTTACAAAGGCAGCTCGGGCTTGTTCTATTCGGCTTTTAATTTCTGCGGTTGGATCCCAGCTCTCATTGATATTACTGCCGAAATACACGAGTTTCTCTACTCTGTCCAGTGTGGCATCTCCGACTTTTATACCGTCATCCTGTATATAATTTTGTTTGCTAACTATCATATATTTAGTTTTCTTAACATTGAGTTTTAATCCATACTGATCACAAGTCTGTTTTATTTTGTTCATTCGATTTTGAAGGTCTTCTCCGCAATTGGCAAGGACTAAGGTATCGTCGGCATATCTAATATTGTTGACGGTTACTCCATTCACAATAATACCTTCGGCGAAGTTAAAAAGTAAAGGCGACAATATACAGCCTTGTCTCACACCTCGTTTTATATTTATTTCATCCAACAGTTCTTGTTCAACCTTTATTCTTGCCACTTGATGCCAGTATAGATTTGTAATAATTATTTGTAGATCTTTATCGTCCAATCAAGCTGTTTCCACTATTTCTAGCATTTTGTTATGTCGGACTTTGTCAAAAGCTTTTTCAAAATCGATTGCACAAATGTACACATTTTGATTTATATCTCTGCATCTCTGTACTAGCACCTGTATACTAAACAAGGCTTCTCTTGTACCCAAGCCACTCCTAAACCC